ACAAAGTTGGAGGACTCAAACTACCAGATTTTTGACAATTATTATAAAGCTATAGTAATCAAGGTATGAGATCAATATAACAGACTAGAGAGTTCAGAAATATGGCCAATTAATTTTTTTATAAATATGTAAAGGCAATTCAATGGAGATAGAATAAGCTGTTCATTAAGTAAAACTATTGGACATCTATATTCAAAAAAACCCTCTACCTATAATTCATGCCTTATATTAAAATTAATGCAAAGTAAATCATATCTAATATAAAATATAGAACTATGAAACTTTTGGAAGGAAACAAAAGAGAGAGTCTTCATAGTCTGATATTAAGTATTCTTAGCTATGACACCAAAGCACTAAAGAAAAAAGTGGATGAATTGGAGTTCATCAAAATTAATAAGTTTTGCTCCATGAAACACATTATTAAGAGAAGAAAATATAATCTTTGGATGCAAAGAAATATTTACAAATCACAAATTAGGCAAAAGCTTGTATCCAGCATACACACACACACACACACACACACACACACACACACACACACATATATACATCTCTTCCAAAACTCAATAATAAAAATATTTGAATAAAAAAATAAAATTTGAATAAAAAAATTTCAAATGATGGGTGGGGGGACTTGAATAGACTTCATGAAAGAGGACTTATGGATAGCAAAACAGCTCATGAAAAGTTGTCCAACATCATAATCTTTTAGGGAAATGTAAATTAAAACTATGATGAGATGTGCCCATACACAAATTAGAATAGGTAAACAACAACAAAACAACAGCAAAAGACTATACCAAGTGCTGTTGAGGACGTGGAGCATTTGGAACACTCATGCATTACTGGTGGTGCAAACAGTGAAGCCACTCTAGAAGACAGGTTGGCAGTTTCCTCTAAGTTAAGCATGTACTTCCTCTATGACCAATTCCACTTCTAGAGAAATAAAACCTTATGTTCATATAAAAACCTATCCATGGATATTTATAGTAGCTGTTTATAATCACCCAAATCCAGAAACAGCTCAGAAGTCCTTCAGTGGTTGAATGGGTAAGCAAACTATGATACATACATGTAGAATACTACTCAGCAATACTCAGCCAAAAAAAAAAAAATGGAATGGACAATTGATACATGTAACAACTTAGATGAATCTCAAAAGCATTATGATGAATGAAAGAAACCAGTCTTAAGAGATTACATATGTTATGATTCCATTTTTATTACATTCTGAACAAGTCAAAACTATTATGATCAATGACAAATCAGTGGTTGTCACAGTTAGGACTGTGGGAAATGTGTGAGTTTACCGTGATAGAGTTTTGTGGAGTGAGGGAACTATTTGGTATTATGATTTTGGTGGTAGTTTCCCAAATCTATACATGTGTTAAACCTCACAGAACTATGCCCCTGACAAAGTGCCAATTTTACTGAAAGTTAATGTTTACAAAGAACAGAATTCCATAAACAGAGAACAAATAATAGAACAAATAAAGCCAAAAGTTGATTCTTTGAAAAGTTAATAAAATTGATAAAACTTCAGCACAATTTGAAGTTTTGACTAAGAAAAAAGAAACTAGAAATGACCAATTTCAGGAATTAAAGAGGAGACACCGCTACAGACATTAAAAAGATGTTAAGAAAATATGAACAACTTTATGCTAATAAATTTGACAACTTAAATGAATATGATAAATTTCTGGAAAGATACAAACTACTTCCCCTTACATGTCATTGACCAGACTGAAACAAACAGTCATTCCTAGCTGCCAGAGAGGCAAAGTATGTATTTGGCAAAGGGAAGCAGAATGGTCATGGATAACTTAGCTCAATTATAATTTATTGCTTACAGCTGAGCTGGTTACATTGTTTCCCCCCCCCCCAAAAAAAAAAACCCCGAATCAGCAGTGTACTGAAGTAAGGGGCAGGGCTTTATGTAGGATGCTAACAAAGCTTGCCACAGTTAGGTTTTTAGTTACTTGCAATCAAAAGACTCCTGGTGCACTTACTAGCTAAACTGGAATCTTTAACCAGTGTACTTAAAGTGCCCAGAGGGAGATACTTTTGAGTTGAAGCAAAGGACTGAGACCTCCAAAATAAATGTTAGAGAAAAGCCTAGAAAAGATCAGTCTTGGATGGAATCTGATAACACCAAATCTGAAGGTCTGTGCTTTCCTTCCAATGTGAAAACTTTTCTTACTCTCTTCTTCCATCTCAGGGCCTTCCCTTCCCTCTCTGCACACTGCCTCAGTTCAGTGCCCTTTCTGGTATTCTGTTCTTTCTGGTATTCTGTAGCACTGCTACACCAACTTGTGAATACTTGCTTTCTTGTCTGCCTCCTTAACAAGATAGTAATGTTAAAAGAAAGAATCATGGCTTCATTTTATTCATCTTTAGATCTATGGCACCCAGGTAGTATTTGTCTGGTTGTTTTTCTGTTTGTTTTACTATTAATTATGAATCAGATGTTTGGTATCAAGGTAAGACATGGTTGAAAGATTTGGCTGGTGAAGAAATGAACTCCTTTTGGATTTAGGCAGATTATTACTTACATAAACAGTGAGAGCAAAAGCAAGTGCCCCCTCCCGAGGAGCTTTTGTCTCACACAACAAAATGATGACACCAAAACCAGAGGGGCCAGATGACTGCAACGCAAATTGTGGAACACCTTGTTGCTGAGGGGCTAACAGCATGCTACAGCTAATCCTTGTTATCTAGCCAGCAGCTCTACTCTAGGGGGGAGAGGCAGAAAGGCTCATCAGAACCCAGGAAGGAATGAGAAACTGCCTCATGAGAACCTCCTTGGAAGACAGGAAGCTGAGTGGGAAATGGCCCTTGTAGTAGCTGCTCGCAAGCCTTCCATGTTCTTATGTTCCAGAACGATCACAAGGTGTTCTTTCAAAACTCAAATCAGCTGCAGTTCAAGCCTTGCCTATGTGGCCTGTGTGGATTTGTGCCAGGTTGTCAGGCACTGGTCCGGAGCTGCTCCCTCTATTCAGGTTGCCCAGAGGAACATGATATTCTATCTTGACTAGATCTTTAAGGTGGCAACAAGAGCCACCATTCAGGAAAAATTCCACATAGTGGGGCTCAGAAGGATGGTGTTTCAAAGTGGGTTTTATTAGTCCCTGCCCTCAAAAGAGTAACTTGGTAAGGAAAACCTCATTATGGTTTCCATTTACCATCTCTGAAAGAATTAGGAATAATAGAACAGGCAATCATGGCCAAAGGGTTTTGTAAAATTTTGCAACTAAAAATGTTGCAAAAACTTCCCAAGTTTTTGTTTGATGTTTATCATTTTTGTTTTCCAACATTAATTAGGTGTAAAAACTCTTGAAGTGAAACAAACAAAAAAATGCCTTGAGCTAGCCTTTAAAAGAGGGAAAGGATGGGAAGAGCAGCCAAGCTGGTTGCGGACAGTAGCCAAGTAGAATGAAAAGGCTGGATTTCTGAAGCCTCCTACAATGAAGAGACAAATGTGGGGGATGGGGGTGCCGGGAAGGGGGTGGTTATGGGAAGATGAGCTCTTGGTCACAGTGAAAAGTGGTGCCATACCATCAGCTACTCACTCACTTGTGTCATTCACAAGTCCTGGGCAGAGGCTGGGGGCACTTTGCAGAGGGCACTTTCCTGAATGAGGGAAAAAGCCTCAGCCTGAGTATCTTGAAATGCTTCTGGAAGGCAGGACCTACACTTCTAACAAGATCTTAAACAACAGAGCTCTTTTGTGTGGTGTCTGATGTGTGACATGTGACCTAGCAGAGGCAGCAATGTGATCAGCCCACAATTCATTCATTTATTCAACAAATATTTATTGAGTTCCCTGTGTACCAGGCAGTCAGCATCCTGGGAGTGGGTGGGGTTACCGTGGTGAACAAGACAGACAAGATCCTTGCCCTTATGGCACTTACAAACCAAAAATCATGGAAGCAAATAAATGAGATCATTTCTAATAGTGCTATGAAGGGTTGGGGAGGCTTCCAGGAGGAAAGGCTGTCGGTGAGGTTGAGGATCCTGGGCCACAGTGAGCCTAAGAGCTGAGGTCAAATGAGGAGACAGGCAACATACTACAGGGGACCTTGCAGGTGAATGTAGGGAGTCTTCATGCCATACTTAAGGTAGTGGGCATCCATTGGAGGCTTTTAAATTGGGGGATGAAGTGGTCCGATTTGTTTTTAAATGATCACGTCAGCAGCTGTTTTATGGTTTAAAACGCCCAGCTTACACATAGGTACTACAGTAATAGGGTATAGGGCAGGGGGGCGGGGGATGGGTATATACATACATTATGAGTGAGATGTGCACTGTCTGGGGGAGGGTCATGCTGGAGACTCAGACTTGTGGGGGGAGGGGGGGAAAGGACATTTATTGAAACCTTAAAATCTGTACCCCCATCATATGCAGAAATAAAAAAATAAAAAATAAAAAGGTGGGAAATCTCAAAGCAAGGGGCTTACAGGTTATAGGTGGGTTCAAAGATTCTTTGATTTGTAATTGGTTAAAGAAATAAAGCTTTGTCTAAAGAAAAAAAATAAATAAAACGCCCAGCTTAACGTTTTAAGATGATCATGCATTCTGCAAATTCACTGTGACGTCACTTCCAAACCCATCTCATCTAGTTTCCGTGACATCATAAAAGCTCTGTAGCATAACCGGTGGGAGCCAAAGGTTTGAGTCATGTCTTGGTTTCAAATCTTGCTTCCCACTTATAAGTTGTGAGCTCTTGGCACGTTATTTACTGTACTTGGGACCCAATTATCTCAGCTGTGAAATGGGGATAATAAAAATTCCTACATAATAGGGTTGTTGTGAAAAATAAACGACATGTAAAGCATGCCCGATGGTGCCTGGCACAATGTAGTACGCTTTCATAAATATTTCCTATTATTACTTCTTTCAGAAGATTATTGTGAGGATCACACAAGATAATGCGTATGAAAGGGTTTGTGCTACTGTAAGGACTATCTTAATAGCAGAGTCTTCTCTTTTTCTTTTCTTTTAAACTAACAGAGAACGCTGGGCTGTTCGAAGAGAGGCCGGAGGCCAACCACAGCCTCAATGCGGTCATTGTCGTCGGGCCGCCCCTCCCCCGCCCGGAGCGCATCTCCATGGCAACGCGGGCTTTGCCTCTCCCCGCCTCCTCGGACCCGCAGACCGGAAGCAGTCCGCGCCGGGGGCTTCTGGGAAACGGCTTGCGAGCGGCGTTTCTGCGTCTGCCGTGGACAGCGAAGCTGTTGCGGTTCCTGAGCCGGAGGTTTGCGCCGGAGTAGAGGGAACGGTATGAGGGGGAGGGGGACGCTGAGCTAGGGTCTGCGGACCTCTTAGCAAGAACTCGTGTAGAAGCCTGGCGGGGACCTTCCTGAGCTTCCTGGGCGGCGCGGGGCACAGGCCGCCGTCTCCGCGCCCAGCAGTTGGAGGGCGGGGAGGTGTAGGTGGGAGGCCTGCTCGGCTGTTAGGCATCCAAGGAGAGCCCTCCTTCCCCTGTGTCCTCTGCGACCCTCACCTTCCCCCTCCCCCATCGGCCGGTTTTGTTCTATTTCGAGGCCTTGGCGTCTCGCGGAGGTTTCTGGGAGTCGTTTCAAGCGGAGGTGGGGACAGGGCGGACCTTGCGCGGGGGCTGCTGGGTCTTGTAGTCCCGCGGGCCGTGGACGGAAGTGCCGTGGCTCCGACGCGGTTGTCACAGGGTGGCCTTTGGTCGTCTTAAATCGGCCGCCGTGAGTGCCGGAAAGAGGGCCCCGGCGGACGTCGGGCTAGGGTCGGGGTACACAGCGGGTCTCTGCAGGAGTGAGGTGGGGATCGTCTGAGACGAGGTACCCCTGCCAAACACTGTCGGGACCATGGGCTTGCCCTCCTGGCACTCCCCTCCATGTCCCACGAGTAGTGTGTGGTATAACATAAAAAGAAAAGAGTTATTTTATGTAGAAATGCTTGAGCCATTGAAGATAGGCTCCTGGAATAGGAAAGAATGAATCTGTTGGCTAGACACTGTTTATAAGGCCACCACACTCCAGAGTATTTAATTAAACCTGTATGTATTACCTGTCTGATGAGGTCTTTTATGATTTCTAGTCTTTATCTTGATCGGGTTACGGTAATTTTTAAGTTGTAATTGTTCACATTCTAGGCCTTGAATAAATACATAGATTAGCTGCATGGTTCATTCCTAATATGTGTTGTAAACAATGGCACGGGCATGACAGTGCAGATACTAAGGAAAGGATCAGAAATAGCACAGTTTCCCTGAAGGTAGAACCTGTGAGTCATCCAGTGTAAGGACAAGATACTGGACTACTGCAAGAAGGTGGCTTTGAGAGTGCCTTTTCTTAATAAAACTTGCTGGAATTAATGTTTATTACTATACATGTATTTCTGGCGTGGTGATGACTGATATTTGCATGTTATGCAAAATAATATATTTTTCAATATCATGTAATCTGTTTTTTCATATATTACGCGATTTTTTTCAATATTATGTGATCTATTACTGAGGAAAAGAACATTTTTTTCCACATATATTTTAAGTCTGAGGAGTTCTTAAACATCTTTAAAATATCTTTTAACTTTTTAAAAAATGTTTTGTAAAGAAAATTACTTTAAAGTAGATAATAAATAAAAAAACGGCTTTTAATCTTGAGTTGACCTAAGTGTGTCATGGAATACCAGTCCTGAATTGCAAACAATGTGTTCCAGGGTCAAGCACATTTAGAAAACACTGAGTTGAACTGGTTCTTAATTGAATTCTTTTGATTATTGAGATAGGGTTTGTTGACTTAGTAGGTCATATATTGGCAAGTTTTTTCTGTAAAGGGTCAGAGAGTAAATATGGCCATGCATCACTTAAAGACAGTGATACTTTCTGGGAAATGTGTTAGGTAATGTCATCATTGTGTGAACATTGTAGAATGTACTTCAGACCTAAGATAATATAGCCTAGTATCTAGGCTATATTGTGTAGCCTGCTGCTCCTATGCTACAAACCTGTACAGCATGTTGCTGTACTGAAGACTGTAGGCAATTTTAATACAGTGATATTTGCATATCTAAACGTAGAAAAGGTATAGTAAAATATGTTGTAAAAGGTAAAAAAGAAAAAAGTACACCTGCATAGGGCACTTAACCATGAATGGAACTTGCAGAACTGGAAGTTGCTTCAGTAAGTGAGTGAGTGGTGAGTGAATGTGAAGTCCTACTGTACACTCATGTAGACTTTATAAACACTGTACACTTAGGCTGCACTAATTTAAAAAAATTTTTTTTCATCAGTAATAAATTTAGTGTATTATAACTTTTTAATTTATAAACTTCTAAATTTTTTAAACGTTGACTCTTTTATAACACTTAGCTTAAAACACATTGTACAGCTGTACAGAAATATTTTCTTTCTTTATATCCTTATTCTATAAGCTTTTTTCTATTTAAAAATTTTTTCTTTTTTTACTTTTTAAACTTTTCCCTTAAAAACAAACTCACAAACACACATTAGGTTAGGCCTACACAGGGTCAGGATTATCAGTATCACTGTCTTCCACTTCCATATCTTGTCCCACTGGAAGGTCTTCAGGGGCAGTAACATGCATGGAGCTGTCATCTGTGATAACAATGCTTTCTTTTGGAATACCTGCTGAAGGACCTACCTGAGACTGTTTTACAGCTAACTTTTTTTTGTAAGTAAAAGGAGTACACTCTAAAGATAAAAATTATAGTAAATACATAAACCAGTAATGTAGTCATTTATTACTCTGATCAAGTATTATGTACCATACATAATTGTACATGCTAGACTTTTATACAACTGATAACACAGTATGTTTTTTTCACCAGCATCACCACAAACATATAATGCCTTACAGCAGCTACAGTGTCACTAGGCAAAAGGAATGTTTTGGCTCCATTTTAATCTTATGGAACCATGTCGTATATGTGGTCCATTATTGATTTAAACATGTAGTGCATGACTGTATGAGGTTTTTCAGGCCATAAAGTCTGTTGAAATTACCCACCTCTGCCAACTCTGCCATTATAGCATGAACCATGAATAAATAAAATTACTTATGGAGACATAAATTATATCATTTGCTAATGTCAGGAAATATTCTTTTAGGTTTTTTTTTTTTAACCATTTAAAATTGTGACTACTATTCTTAGTACAAGCACTGGACAAAAATAGGCAGCAAACTAGATTGGGCCGTGAACTATAGTTTGCCAACTCCTAGTATAGCTTATTGATTAGAATTTTTAACCCAGAAAAAGAATAGATATCTTTTACTTCCTTTATCAGCATACGTCTAAATTCTTAGGCTATTTAGTCATTTATATATTTTTTTTCCTTGTGCCTCAGGGTTGCCTGTGAAGAAAACGGGGTATTTCCCTAAGGCTTATATTCTGCCTTGATTGTCTTTTCTTGAAGTATTATAAATCAGGATGTCTGCACAGTCAGTGGAAGAAGATTCAATACTTATAATCCCAAATCCAGATGAAGAGGAAAAAATTCTGAGAGTGAAGTTGGAGGAGGATCCTGATGGCGAAGAGGGATCAAGTATCCCCTGGAACCATCTCCCTGATCCAGAAATTTTTCGACAGCGATTCAGGCAGTTTGGATACCAGGATTCACCTGGGCCCCGGGAAGCTGTGAGCCAGCTCCGAGAACTTTGTCGTCTATGGCTCAGGCCAGAGACACACACAAAAGAACAAATCTTAGAGCTGGTAGTGCTAGAGCAGTTTGTTGCCATCCTACCCAAGGAGCTACAGACTTGGGTTCGCGATCATCATCCAGAGAATGGAGAGGAGGCAGTGACGGTGTTGGAGGATTTGGAAAGTGAACTTGATGACCCTGGACAGCCGGTGAGCCTGCTTGTGTCACTTTCCTGGGTAAAAACCGCTGGCATGGCAGTAGGCAAAGCTGCTGAATTAATTGCAGTCAACTAAGTTAGAATTATGTTTATGCCTTCTCCCCATCCCCCTACTGCTCACGATCTGTGCTGCTTTGCCATCCAAGCCTTTGCAATATATGTTTTATGTGGATTCTTTTATGTGTTTTTAGTTCTGATTCTCATCACAATTTCTTCCCTGAACCATATCTTACTGTTTCCAGGTTTCTCTCCGTCGACGAAAACGGGAAGTGCTAGTAGAGGAGATAGTATCTCAAGAAGAAGCTCAGGGAGTACCAAGTTCTGAGCTTGATGCTGTGGAGAACCAGCTTAAGTGGGCATCCTGGGAGCTCCATTCCCTACGGCACTGTGGTGAGGACCAGAACTCTTTGTGGGCTGGAGGGTGAAATATGTACCTTGTGTCTAAAACTCTTCTTGTTCTTGTGGGGGTGTCACTCTTAACCTGATTCCTGAGACATGGAAACATTATAGATCTTGATTATTTTCTGATAATAGTTGATTTGTTGGCCTCAAATCTTTTATTCCTAGCCATTGACATCTTCAGCCTTTTCTTTCCTTTAACTTGTTTTCTGAAGACTTATCCATGTCAGACAAGCATTTGCTTTACTTTGAGCCAGCACCCACCTATAGACCAGATCCCTCTCTTTTACATGCATTTTGCTTGTCATTTGTTTTATATCCTTTTACTTTTCAGTCTCCTGCATAATTCTGTACTGACATGTATACTTTGATACAGCCCAGTATATTCCTAAAACTGCTGGGTTTCTTTTTCATATTTACATGAATTACAATGAAATTTTGTTCAGATCTGTTTTGGGAATCATTTCTTGAGGGAGTTGGATATAATACTGGCGTGCCACAGAATGAGGTCTCAGCAGGTTTCTTCCCATCTGTGGAGATAGTGCTATACAATTATAACTTCTGGGGTGGGGCTGAAGTCTGCTGAGAATCTGCAGTTTTACATGTTATATGGCACATTCTTCTGTGCAGTAAAGTTTGAGAACCACTATCCTTGATCTTTGGAAGTGGTATTTTCTTGGGTAGAAAACTTTTGCTCTTTCTGATTTTGGAATAACTTCTCATATTTTTTAATAGCCTCCTTTCAGCAGTTTAGTCTCTTCCACACTTGGGAAATTCCATTTTTTTCTGTGTGATTCGTCTCTACTTAATCCACACTGACTTCTCTGTTCTTTGTCTCCAGGCCTTACTAACCCCCTCTAATCTTTCAGTCTCTCTCTCTCTCAGCTTTATCTTCTGATTTTATCCTTTTGTTAATCATCTACTGTTTTCCTTTTTTCTGAGGGCTGCTGTTCACCCTGTATGAACTGTATCTTCTTAAGGTGTGAAGTTTCAGGAAAGTCTTAAGTGAGACTTGTTCTTACCTGTGCCTGCAGGTGGATGATGGTACCTCATGTTGGTAATTTAGGCTTTTCTTTCACTGGACATAACTCTCTTGAGGCTTGGAATAGCCATTTTTCTAAGTACCATGACAAATACCAAACTGGGAAAGCTTCTTTATTGGAAAACTTTTATTTATAAAGGGCATATTGAATTTTTAATTGTCATGTCTTGGGTTAACACATAATACCCCCAGCTTATCTTCAGCCCCTTCTTGTCAGAATTCCCATGTTCTGCTTTTAGTCTAATCTTGGCTGTGACCTGCCTTGTCTTGCTCATTTCAGAATAACCACTTTAATATAATTTTATTTTTCTTATTACAAAATTACAGACCTAGGCACATCACTTTGACTGTGTCCCTACCATCTTAGAATCTACTATCTTTCTGCTCTTTTTTTTCTGACTACCATTTATAACCTACTTGCCCATGTTTTATCCAGATAAAACCTGTTATGTTGTTATGATGCTGTTACCTCATTAACTTCATAATCAGTCATTTCATTTTTTCTCTTTTGAGAATATGCAACTTTAACACCAGTTTTCAGAGTGCTGTTTATAGATTTGTGCAAGCTATTTACTTTTAGTTCACTTTTTAAAAAAATTTTCTTAAAATCCTTTTTTACTGAATAGGTAATGAGTGATATTTGCATTTTCTGTTTATTTCAGATGATGATGCTAGGACTGAAAATGGAGCGCTAGCACCAAAGCAGGAGACTCCTTCGGCAGTAGAATCTCATGAAGCTCCTGGCATACTCAATATAGGTGTTCCTCAAATTTTTAAATATGGAGAAGGCTGTTTCCCCAAGGGCAGGTTTGAAAGAAAGAGAAATCCCTCACGAAAGAAACAACATATATGTGATGAATGTGGAAAACACTTCAGTCAGGGCTCAGCCCTTATTCTTCATCAAAGAATTCATAGTGGGGAGAAACCTTATGGATGTGTTGAGTGTGGGAAAGCATTCAGCCGAAGTTCCATCCTTGTGCAACACCAGAGAGTCCATACTGGAGAAAAACCTTACAAATGTCTTGAATGTGGGAAAGCCTTTAGCCAGAATTCTGGGCTTATTAATCATCAGAGAATCCATACTGGGGAGAAACCTTATGAATGCGTTCAGTGTGGGAAATCCTATAGTCAAAGCTCCAATCTTTTTAGACATCAGAGAAGACACAATGCAGAAAAACTTCTGAATGTTGTGAAAGTTTAAGAAATTGAAAAAAAAAATCAGCACTCAGGTCTTTTCTTCAGAAATGAAGATAAAATTTAAAACATGAAATGATACAGAATAGTTTTTTCCCTACTGACTGTCAGAAAATCTACTGGGAAATGTAAAAATTCTTCACTTACCATTATTATTTTATCTTGAAAGAAATGGTGTCGTACCTGCCTAGAAACTGAAATTTTAAATTCAGGTGTTAATACCTAAATTTTCTTTGTAATGTTTATATTCTCTATTACTTTTCCAAATAATGAGCTACCTGATTCTTTATTCCTTTCTTAAAAGTCTCCCTTTTTTAGGCAAATTATTTCTGTGTTGATCATCGAAATGCTTTTTATAAGGATACATTCCCTTCTACATTAAAAGGCAACATAGGAGTTATAAAGTCTGAAAACCACCTGAAACAATTTTAAAACCATCTTTTAAAAATTTGCCCTTGTGTTCATTTTACTGAATTTGAATATGCATTTGAGAATATAGAAGATAAAGGATGGCTAAAAGCCTCAAAAGTAAAATGAGCCATAGATCTCAAATAAATGATGCTAACAAAACATCAAAAAATGAATAGGACACCTAGATGCGGGAAGATATGCAAATACTTTGATTTAAGAATTGAAGTATGTCAAGAATTTTATTTAAATTCAGTCATCTGCCTGCAGGAAAACTCAAAAACCACTCATCCTACCTGTAATTTGGAGGCATCTTACTAATGAAAATAAAGTTCTCCCATATATCATTAAAAAACAGTCTGAACAATAAACAATTATAAAACTTTAAAGGTGGAAATTATAACGGGAGAATTTGTAGTGAATGTCAGTGTTGGAAGGGCAAATGTAAACATAAGGGTAATGGTCTGTCTTGGCTTTTAGAAAAAGACTTGAAGATCTAATTCATTATTATTTGCCTTTATCTTTGTTAAGGACAGAAAATTCCATGACAGGTATACAAGTATCAGGTTTGCTATTTTTTATTCCTTTGGTACAAAAGGGTTGAATACCAGGCTAAAAAAGCAGCCATGCATTTATTAAACATTTTCTACCGATAAGGCACTGTGCTAGGTACTGTAATCCTACCATAAATAGGTAGGTATTTTTTCCACTGTAAATCATAGGGGGTTTGGTACAAAGCTGTTTCACATGAGTCAGCCTCTTCCTCTTGTCTGAGCATTCCCTGGGGAGGTCACCTCTGAGATTCCCAGAGCCATAGTTCTCTTACCAGGGCATTATATTGAGGGGGGGAGGGGCTTAGCTCAAAGAACTGGCCAGCTCTCCAGCATTCTTCAGAGGTGAGTCCAAGATACTCTATATCAGAGCTTGGAGGTTTGTGAATCTTTTAAAAAAACTAATCAATCTCTAGTAGCATTGAGGTTGTACCTCCATGTTAAGTTGAATGGACTATTCTATTTAAAAAATTACAACTAGACCTTTAACTAGTTTATTAACTATGAGAATTGATTGAACTATTTTTTTTAATTTTTAGTCTTAACACATTTTTAAAAATGTATTAAAGTAATACATTGTAGTAGTAGGATTATATACTCCTTGGCTGAGAATCCCAAGTACTGTGGTTCTACTGTTTAGTGGAAAACTCTGGAAGGTAAAATATAGAAAATGAGAAAATGCTTTTTTATAATGGGTATCATTGTGTGGAAAATGACCCATGTGAATTACAAGTATTTCATAGTTCAGAGATTTTGGTTATATCTGGTGCTTGGATCAAGTCGAAAAATGGAAGGTGAGATTTGCATGAGCCTATTAAAAAGCAAAGTAATAAATGCAAGGCCAGCTGGTTGAGAAGTGAGGAAGAATGGAACTTGTTTATAGGTTTTCTGATAACAATTATAATAATAAGAAATGTGCTTTATAGATTAAGATTTATTGAAGTATAAATATGTAGTATGATATAATGTATTTTAAGTTATACAAGAAAACATAGGGACTTTTGTTTGGGTCTTTTTCTCTTTATGGCTGAGAGGAAGCAAGTCATTGTCCAATAAAGCTATAAATTCCTCTGCTCTAAGATAAAATCATCTTGAGTTGATTGATTTATTTATTTATAACTGGCTTCTTTCCAAGTAGGTTTTGAGGTGGCATATTTGGAAGACTGCGGGGATGACAGAATTCTTTTATCAGAGTAGGTAAGAAGGGAAGCAACCTCTCAGTGGCTGAAATGCCACATTTTTAAGATCTTACAACTTTCCTTTATGCAAGGAAGCTTCCTTGTGGTAGATTTTTCATAAATGCCAAAGATATTTGGTAATGTGAGAGCATAGAAAAAGTAGTGTTAGAGTTGGCAAATATGTTTTTGTCTTGCCAGCTCTAATACCTGTGTATTGTTTGGAAGGGATTATGACTGAGCTAAGGCAAGGCTCTGTGGGGGAAAAGGGATAAGATGGTGGTACACAGGAAAAGGCCATGGTGAAATGTGTGCTTGGTTAACCTTAGTCCTCATTAGACAAATTGATTTTAATAACTATTTAGTGATTTATGATTTCATCCAGACATTCATTTATACCCATGCAGATAAGGCAATTTGGGGGAGTGCCCAACCTCTATTGAAATGGTGATGTGGCAGTTGCCATGCAGTGGTGCATAGCCAGGGCATCTATTTGGTTAGCAAATGAGCAGATGTATTAGGGCATGCAGACTACTGATAACCTGGCCACTGAGCATTTGTTTGTTGCTGCTAAATTTTCTTCTGATTTTGTTGGAGGTTAAGCTCTCCACATTCACACCTAGTTGACACTTAGTTCATTTAGCAGTATGTCTCATATTTGTGTAAATCAAGGGGAGGGATACATGAATTGAAATAATCAGCATATCAGGCATTGAATTAGAAACTGTACCTATCTCAGTTACATTCGTAGATCAGGAAAGCAAGATTCAGAGATCATGTGACTTGCATGTGGCCAGTTAGAGCTAAAATTCAAATCTAGTTCTGTGGATTCCAGTGATATATTTACTATGTTATGAGTGATGGCTGTTAAGCCTTGGTTAATAAATTTTATGCTTTTATCTTTATGGTTAACGAATGTGGAAGCTATTAAACATGCTGGTTTGAATTTTTACAGTACAGAAATGTAAAATGAAAAAGGACATTTCCTTTTACAGTATTACCCAGAAGTGATAATAGTTTGGTTTGTTGTTCTTCCAGATATAGGCATATATATATTTAATCAAAAATGTGTTAATAGCTGACACTTGTTGCTGTGTAGGAGCACTATTTGAAGTGCTCTATCGTGGATTGACTCTTAATCCTTAGCAACCATAAGAGGTAGGACGTACCCTCATTTTACATGTATTACACTGAGACTTGCCTCTCCTCCCTCTCACTGATACAGCCATTCTGTTTTCATAACTACATACTTTCATAACATATTATTCTATTGCATGAATATAATTTATTTAACCCCATATTGATGGATAATTAGGTTCATTATAGATAAAGGTATAGTAAAATATCCCTGTATATGTGTTTTGCTACTTGTGTGGGTATTTCTGTAAGATAAATAGCTAGAAATGGATTTTTTGGGTCAGAGAGTGCACATTTGACATTTTGAGAAATACCAAAAAGATTGTACCAATTTACAACTCCATCAACAGTAAAGGCACCTATTTGCTTACACTCCTGCCAATCCTGAATTCTTAAAATTGCCAATTTGATAGGCAAAATTTGTTTTATCTTTCATTTCTTCATTAGGAGGAACATCTTTTCATGTTTGTTGGTCATTTGCATTTCCTGTTATGAATTGCTTTTGTCCATCTTTTTTTAATTATGAAAGGATAAATGACTACTCATACAAAACTTAAATGATACACAAGTGTAAGAGCAAGGAGAGACCCTTTTCTCCAGTGTTTCCAATCATTCCATTTCTTGCCGTTTAGCATACCTCCTTTCTAGTCCCTTTTCCATACATTTCCATATGAACATACCCTTAAAAACACTATTTTTACATAAATAGGATCATATATATGTATTGTTCTGTAGCTCACATTCTTTGGGGGGGGTCTCAAAAACATACTGAGGTCTTTATATTTCTTTTATGGTTGAATAGGATTAAATACTATGAAGATACCATTATTTAAATATTCCCTTATTTTTTTTCTCTTGCTATTGCATTGCCAAAGTAAGCATCTGATTGAGATGTCTTTGTGCATGTGTGTGAGTTTCTTTAGGCTGGAGTCCCATAAGGTGGATTGTTGGGTCTAAGGGTTTGTTCTCTGATAGACCTACCTTAACCTTCCCAAAGGCCTTCATAACTTTGTATTTTCACCAGTTGTATGAAAAGTATTTGTTTCCCCATATAGCCTTACCTACTTTTGATAGTTTTTATCTGTTGGGCTAAAAAGAAAAAGGAATCCTTTCATATTTTGCATTTCCCTGATTATCAAAAATTGTGAGGTTGGGTTATTTTCATGTTTATTGGCTATTTATAGTTTTACCATGGATTGTTTGTATCCTTACCTGCTTTTCATATGGGTTATTGTGGATATCTTGGTTTTGTTTGTTCAGCATCTCTTTCCCCATCTTCTGGTAACAGAACCTTTATTTATTGTGGGGAACCCATTCCCTGTGGCTTAGGTGAGCCATGACCAGGTCTGGGCTCCTGAGTCCCGGAGCTCCCTAGCCACAGCAATTAAAGAATGGGCATATAATTTAAGCCAGGCTAAGGAGAGCCCTCAACAGAACTTCTGCCGGAACTACTGGAAAGAAGGCTTTATGGAGATCCTAGGAACCAAGGACCCTATAAGCCTGAATTTGTAACCATGTGGAGAGAGTCTATGTGAGGAGAAACTTGGAGGCTAGCAGAAATGGAAAGAGAACTAAGTTTTGATGTCATTTTTCTGGAGGCCCTAGATCCAGCTGTGCCTAAAGCCTGCCCTACCTCCGGACTTAAAAGTTTTGTGAGCCAATAAAGTCCCTTTCTTGTTTAAGATAATTGAATTGGGTTTCTGTCCTGATTAATATAGGTTATTTGTATTTTCTTATTGATTTGTAGAAAACCTTTGTAATTTTAAATTTTAGACTTATACTTTATGCACTGTATAAGTTAATAAAATTAGCATGGCCTTCCATGATTTGGCCTCTGTCAACCTCTGCCATTTACTTCACTCTTCCTATACCACACAGCACATACAATAACACCTTACATTCCAACAATAACTGAACATTGGTGTTGAAAATGCCTGTGGATGAAGAGCTTTTCACACAGTCGCCTCTTTGACAGTTCTTTTTTCATCCTTCCTCCAGATTCATTAACCTGGGACTTTGAAACTCGGGATTACACTGCTGAGTCTTTGCTGTACCCACCACCTACCATTGCTCTTGAAGCATTCTCCTTAAGGATTTGCCCTCAAGGATCCCCTGTATGCAACCCTTGGAGCCCCATCCACTCTATTCCCTTACCATGGTTCTCTAGGTCTTTGTTTTATTCTCAGGCCTGTGGACTTGAAGTTACTCAGACCCAAGATCTGAGTTGCTTCACCTTGTGGGCTCTTTTCCAGGGCAGGAAATGGGGCAATGTCCCAGGATGTAGTTTCCAAAGAGATATCCTTCAAGATTGAGCCAAACATTGTGCAGGTTTCTATTCATTTATCAACACATTAAGTGCCTACTCGGGTCAGGCACTGTTCTGGGGTTTACATACCTCGTGTGTGTGTGTGTGTGTGTGTGTGTGTAAACTACACATGGCAGTGGAAAACCAGTACTAAATGAGAAACAAGTTTTTTAAGAAAATGCATGTTGTATGTTATATGGTGGTGAGTGGTTAGGAAGGAAATAAATCAGGAAAATGATACAGAATGTCTAGAAGAAAAGGTATTGTAATTTAGGTAGATTGGCCACAGAAGGTTTCACTGACAAAATGACATTTGAGAAAAAGATGAATAAGGAAGCAAGCCATGAAACTGAAGGAAGAATGTTCCACGCTTGGAAACAGCAATTTACAGAGAACTTGATGCAGGAGCAATGCCTGATTTGTTCAAGAAAACAATGAGGCCATTATGGCTAGAACAGAGTGAACATGGAGAAAAGTAGTAGGTGAGCCCAGGAAAATAAATAGAGTGAGGGTGGCAGGCAGAGCTACATCATGGAGGACCTGGTTAGTCATTGGTAGAACTATGACTTTTCCTTTGAATGTGATGGGAGACCATTAGAGATTTTGGGCAAAGGAGAGACATGACAAGGTACTGAGAATAGACTTGAAGAAAATCTCCATCTAGTTTCTTTAAATTTTTTAAATATGTTTTTACATATTATGAAGGTAATAAAAGGAAATATTTTAGAAATAAATCGCCTATGCATCCACAATCCTAATAACATCCCATTAATATTTTGGTGTTCTCTGTATACCTCTCCCCATCTATACCTATTACACCATTATTTACAACAGAAATATATACTTAGAAAAATACAACCTGCATCCATGTATTCATTTGTTAATCTTATTTTTCCTTCTATCTTTTTTTTTTGGAGACAGAGTCTCACTTGTCTCACTTTTTTTGAGATAGAGTGCTGTGGCGTTAGCCTAGCTCACAGCAACCTCAAACTCCTGCGCTCATGTGATCCTCCTGCCTCAGCTTCCTGAGTAGCTGAGACTATAGGCATGTGCCACCATGCCCGGCTAACTTTTTCTATATATTTTTAGTTGGCCAGTTAATTTCTTTCTATTTTTAGTAGATATGGGGTCTCGCTCTTGCTCACGCTGGTTTCGAACTCCTGACCTTGAGCGATCCACCTGCCTCAGCCTTCCAGAGTGCTAGGATTACAGGCGTGAGCCACCACGCCCGGCCTTTTCCTCTTATCTGTAGATCAACTATCTGTGCATCTGTCTAAGGCTAACCTCTCCACTGGATCCAAGCTGTCTTCTCACACCTACTCAAAAACATACTCCAGTAATTCTCACATTATCAATTTTTCTCTCCTGGATTTTTCTAATTAGCATACAAATGAGCTGTTTTTTTGTCACAAACACAAAATCCTTCAGGCCAAGATGGAGCACAGGGACTAACCTGCTTTAACAAATGCCAGACAACACATATCAGACATAGGCAAAGGATGGGAAAGACAGGATCCCCAAGAGGCAGAAAACAAACGAGGTAAACTTGGATTGCCTCAGTTTACTACCTAGAGAGAGTTTCCAGCTCACAGCTGAGGAGAGGGAACTCAGGCAGGGCCTGGTAGTCTCCTTAAGCTGAGAAGATACAGCAAACAGTTCTGGGAGACCAAGGTGGCTAGCGTTCTGGGGGCAGAGTATCAGGAGATAAGTGCACAGAAAGAGAACACTGGAGACCTGCAGAGAGTCTGCGGGTGAGGAAAGAATGGTCTAAAACGATTAGTGGGAAAAAATCACTGGAACTCATAAAGGGCCAGGAATGGTATCAGCTAGAGTAGAAAATCTCATAATTCACAGAGCAGTGGTTCCCAAACAAGGGCAATTTTGCCCCCCAGAAGACATTTGGAAATGTCTAGAGACATTATATATATATATATTTGAGACAGAGTCTCGCTTTGTTGCTTGAACATTAAACATCACACTTCTAAATAACACATGGGTCAAAGAAAAAATCTTGAGAAATTAAAATATATTTTGAACTAAATGGAAATGAAAACAGAACTTATTAAAATTTGTTGAGTGCAGCAAAAGCAGTGCTTAGAAGGGAATTTATAGCATTGAATGAATATTAGAAAAAAAGATCTAAAATCGACCATCTAAGCTTCCATCTTAGGAAACTATAAAAAGAAAAGCAAGTTAAATCCAAAGTAAGCAGAAGAAAAGAAATAAAAATTAGAGTAAAATCAGTCCTTTACTGATTTCCTATTTTCCATAAGAAAATAGGAAATCAGTAAAGAAAAATCAATAAAACCAAAACCCAAAAGTTTCTTTGAAACGATCAATAAAATCTATAAGCCTTTCTAGCCAGGCTAACTAGGAAAAAAAAAAGGGTATAAATTGCTAATATCAGAAATGAAAGACGGGTTATCACTACAGATCCCACAAACATAAAAATGATACTAAAGGGATACTATGAAGACCTCTTTGCCCACTAATTTGATAACCTAAATGAAATGGATGAATTCCTTGAAAGACACAATCTGCGAGTACTCACACAAGAAGAAACAGACAATCTGAATAGGCAATAGACAATCTGAATAACTGATTTGATATCTATCAAAGATACTAAATCAATTAACCTTCCAAAACAGAAAGCATCAGGCCCAAATGAGTTCACTGGTAAATATTACCAAACATTAAGAAAGAAATCATACCAATTCTCTACAATCACTTTCAGAAGACAGAAGAAGAGGGAATATTTCCTAACTCAATCTATGAAGCCAGCATCCCCCTAATACCAAAACCAAAGACATTATAAGAAAAGAAAACTACAGACCAATATCTCTCATGAACAAAGATGCAAAAATCCTCAACAAGATATTAGCAAATTGATTCCAACAATGTATAAAAAGAATTAAATACAACCAAGTGGGATTTATCCCAGGTATGCAAGACTAGTTCAACCTTTAAAAATCGCTTAATATAATCCACCCCATCAACACGCTAAAGAAGAAATATCACATATCAGTATCAATAGATGCAAAAAAAAAATTGACAAAATCTAACACTCATTCGTGATGAAAACAAAAAAGGACTCTCCGTAATCTAGGAATAGAAGGGAACTTCCTTAACTTGGTAAATAATATCTATAAAAAAACCTACAGCTAACAACAAACTTAATGGTGAGAAACTTGAAACTTTCTCACTAAGATCAGGAACAAGGCAAGGGATGTGCCCTCTCACCACTGCTTTTCAACATTGTACTGAAAGTCCCAGCTAATGCAATAAGACCAAAAATAAATAAAGAAAGAAATAAAAAATATATAGATTGGAAAGGAAGAAATAAAAGTGTCTTTGTTTGCAGATGATATGATTGTCCAAGTAGAAAATCCGAAAGAATGGACAAAAAAATCTCCTGAAACTAATAAGCAATTATAGCAAGGTTGCAGGATACACGGTTATTTTCCTATATACCAACAATGAACAAGTGAAATTTGAAATAAAAAACACAATACTGCTTACATTAGCACCCTCAAAAATGAAATACTTAAGTATAAATCTAACAAAATATGTACAAGATCTATATGAGGAAAACTACAAAACTCTGATGAAAGAAATCAAAAAATTAAATACAGAGATATTCCATGATCTCAGGTAGGAAGACTCAATGTCTTCAAGATGTCAGTTCTTAATTTGATCTATAAATTCAATGCAATCTGAATTGAAATCCTAACAAATTATTTTGTGAATATTGACAAACTGATTCTAAAGTTTATATGGGGAGGCAGAAGACCCAGAATAGCTAATACAACATTGAAGGAGAAGAACAAAGCTGGAGGACTGGCACTACCCAAAGACTTAAAGCTACAGTAATCAAAATAATGTAGTACTGGTGAAAGAATAGATAAATAGATTAATGGGATGGAATAGAGAGCCTAGAAATAGATCCACATAAATATAGTCGAATTATTTTTGACAAAGGAACAAAGGTAATACAATGGATAAAAATGTAGTCTTTTGACAAATAATGCTGGAACAACTGGACATTCACATGCCCCCCCAAAAAATCTAGACACCTTACCCCCTTCACAAAAATTAACTCAAAATGGATCATAAATCTCAATATAAAATGTAAAACTATAAAACTCCTTGAAGATAACATACGAGAAAAATCTAGATGACCTAGGGTTTGGCAATGACTTTCTAGATACAACACCAAACACACATGATCCATGAAAGAAAGAATAAAGTTGACTTACTAAAATTAAAAATTTCTGCTCTGTGAAAGACACTGTTGAGAGAATAAAAAAAGAAGCCACAAACTGGGAGAAAATATTTGCAGAAGACATATCTGATATGTTATTCAAAATATGCAAAGAACTCTTAAAAATCAACAATAAGAAAAACTATTGATTCAAAGACCTTAACAGACACTTCACCAAAGAAAATATACAAATGGCAAATAAGCATTTGAAAAGATGCTCCACATCATATATCATCAGAGAAATGGAAATTCAAAGAATG